ATAAATCTGGTCCTTTATTTTATAGGTGTGAAAACTGTGACCCATAAGTGACCTTCCTAAAGTCTAACAGGTGGTCAATCAAAATGATGGAATCTGAACCCAGGACCTGCTGGGCCCGATGCTCCTCCACTGTTTCTTGCCTCCAAGATGTTCCTTGCAGGGCCCGGAGTCCCCTTCCTCACTGACCTCCTGACTGGGTCAGATGTTGAGCATGCAGAGTAGTCATAATCCCATGACCAGCCTCTTACATAGCATAATTTTGTACTCATTGGAATGAGGCAGTTGACAACCATTATAAAATTGTTCTCTTTCAGTCAGTGTTTCAGCATGTGTACATTTTTAAAAGCATTCATCATGTTCCTCCCCCCTCTCACGACAAGCAGAGTATCTGAGGAGCATATCCTTGCCAGTGCCCGTCCTGGTGGAAGATACGAGCAGCAGCAGTGAGTACGGCTCAGTTTCCCCCGACACAGAGTTAAAGGTGGACCCCTTTTCTTTCAAAACAAGACCCAAATCCTGCGGAGAAAAAGACGTAAAAGGAATACGGACCCTGTTTTTGGGGTAAAGACCTGACTTATCTTGGGTGAAGGATGTATGTCATTGTAGAAAGGAAATTGTGATTGATTTATGCTGTATCAATTATTGCAGCATTCCAGATGAAAACTTTGAAGATCATAGCGCTCCACCTTCCCCTGAGGAAAAAGACTCTGGGTTCTTTATGCTGAAGAAGGACAGTGAAAGACGGGCCACCCTTCACAGGATCCTCACGGAAGACCAAGACAAAGTTGTGAGAAACTTAATGGAATCTTTGGCTCAGGTAAAACCTCTCATGGATACTTCATTTCCCAGAGTTTATATATTTGAACTGTCTTAACCTATGGGAATCGTCACAGGTGACGTGGAGACATGAGGAAGCTTTAGTGCTCACATGAAACCTACCTCAGAGGGGGAGAAAAGGGGCAAATCCCTAACGTAGAAACCGCGTTTCGGAACATAAGCTGTTTTTAAGTCAGAAGCAAAGTTTTCGTGTTGGGGAAGTTCCAGCTAGTCCCTCCAAGCCGCTTTCACTCTGCATTTATTTGTTTAGTCACTCAATCAGTAAATACATATTGAGCCACATGAATTGCTAATTCTTACATTAGCTCACGGCTACCTCTCAGCCACTCCTCTGAGCATTTAGGGAACTTGTAAATACAACAGAGATCCCTGGGTTTGTGGGGCTCTGTTCAGATGGAAGGTGATGGGCGATAACAAGTAAATTATATAGTGTGCTAGAAGGCCGTATGTGCTATGAAAGAACAAAGCTGGCCAGTGAAACTCGGGTTCCCTGGTGTGTTTGTATGCTAGGGCTGCTATAACAGAATACCCCAGATTGAGCAGCTTAAATGACAGAAATTTATTTCTGATAGTTCCAGAGGCTCAAAGTCTAAGAACAAGATGTTGGCAGATTTGGTTTCTTCTGAGGCCTCTTTCCTTGGTTTGCAGGTGGCGCCTTCTTGCTGTGTCTTATTCTGGCCTTTTTCTCTGTTTGCCCCTGGTCTGTCTCTCTTCCTCTTCTTATAAGAACACTAGTCCTATTGGATGAGGACCCCACCCTTGTGATCTCATTTAACCTTAATTACCCACTAAAGATCCTCCAAATGCAGTCACATTAGAGGTTTGGGCTTCAACATACGAATTTGGGGTTGGGAGAACACAGTTCAGTCCATAATACCTGGAAATGTGTTCCCTGGGGTTCTGCTTACAGATACGAGAAGAATCCTGTCGCCCACTCTGTGCCAGTGGAAACAGGGTTTCCCCAGCTCCAGGCCTGTGGATATTAGCTTCCCTAGACATGCTTGGTCCCAGACAGGACACTCAGTCTCCTATTTTAGTTGTGTGGGTGTCAGGGGCTTGTCTACCTGCTTCGGCCCTTGTGGCCACCACCTGTCCTCCCTGATCAGCGTGGACTCTATATACCTCCTTCCCTCCCTTCTGTCCTGGAAAAACAGCTACAAGAAGGGTGGAGCTGGATGAGTTGGGTCAATTGTTTAGTTTCTCAGTCCAACAGTTGGCTTGTATTGGGGTGTAAATGAAACGAGGCTGTCTCTTTCTTGGCTGTTACTATATAGCCCCTGCTTGTCTTTGTCTTGAGAACCCCACTGAGTTTCTCTGCTGATTCCATCATCTTAGGAATTCTCTAATGTCCACCTCTTTTGATCCTATAGGAGGGGCCGAAAGGATCCCCGGGTACAAGGAGAACCCAAATGAGCACATCTGTGCTTTCTGGGAAAATCCTGACTTGAGTCCTAAAGGAAAGCTGCCTTGAGCAGTTACTTTGAGGCCCAGGAAGGAAGAGCTCTGGGATGAGGGTAGGATGAGTGCCCAGGATGCCGCTTAGGAGCGTTGGGAGGTGTGGAGGAGGTGGGGCAATGCTGAACCTTTAGTTTTCTCTCTTGCCTTTCCACCTGCTCACTGTGGTCATTCAAAGACTGAAAATGGGAGGGTAAGAAGGAGAACCAGGCTTCAAGAGCAAATGGGCAGCAATCAGAGATCATTTATTCATTCAGCAAGGATTTATTGAGCATCTACTACATGCCAGGCACTGTTCTGTGTGCTGGGGACACTACAGTGAACAAAACTGAAGAAAAAAAAACCCAAAAAACAACTGCATCCCAGTGAAGCTGACATTCTAGAGGAGAAAGAAAAACAATTTANCAAAATATGAATTGTCCTTCTGCAAGAATTTCGTAACTCATTTCAGAGAGGAAAGAACAAGTTAATGATCTATTATGGGCCCTTCTGGTGTTTATATGGGATGAGGATGGGCAGGTTGAGTGCTTAGAAAGGACATGGATTCCATGTTAAGCCTTCAATTTTTGTCGATTTCTCAGTTGAACAACAAACCCGATGTGTGCTTATGATGCTCTTTGCTTTTCTTCCCACAGCTCTTTCACCTGGATCAAATGGTGAGTTTATGTTTAGATTTTCCATTGAGCTGAAGCTTGGTGCATCATACGATGAGCTCTAGATTGCCAATCACAGAGGCTCGCCCTCCCCTCCCTGGTTACATAGGAGGCTGCTCGGTACTAGGGGTGTGTGCAGCCGCAAGCCTGGCTGGGCACATTCCTCCTGAAACCCCTCACCTTTCTTTTTCATGAAGGCGGCTTCAGTTGTTCCTCCCAAAAGCAAGATGGTGATTATATTTTTGAAACCTTCAATTTGAGAGGATTCCACGCTTCCTTATCTGGGAGCTAGTTCACTACCCAATGGATTTCTTGTGGAAAATTTCAAGGCAGATGTCTTCTGCTGTCAGCTTTGGGGTCGTTTGTTCTCTCTAGTTTTATTTATTCAGGAGTAGTTGTACTTTTGTTTTTAATGTTGGCCTTTGCAGATCGTAGCTAGGAAGGTAAATTTGCTCTAAGAAGATCAACTAATGTATTTCAAGGAATAATAAAGGAATGACCATGGTGTTGGATTTCCCTAAGTTGCATGAGTTATGGATTGAATAGTGCCAGGGCTGTAATGTGTGTTGTTCCCCAGACTGGGAGCAGGATTTTGCAGGTTTCTCAAGTGCCTCAAAACCAGTCAGCCTAGAGTAGAGGCCCAATAACTGGCGTTTCGTGGCCACAGCCTCTTCAACTTCCCATCTTGAATTCTGAGAGCCGGGGAGAACTCCGAGGAGAGCCCCCTCCTTTTCCACCTGTCTCCACAGGCAGCCTAGAGTCTGGAAGGCAGTCATTGCATTTTGCACTAGATAGGCTCTGGAGTGCTCTGCAGCTTTCTGACCAGCCTTTTTTGGTGTCATAAGATGGTTACTGACGTTGGTGTTATGCAGAAGTCGGTTCTGATCTCAGCTGAGCCAGTTTCTAAACAGGGGATGCAGCAATTTACTTGTTTCATCTGGCACCCTGTGTTGGTAACAATACCTACTTCACAGATTTGATTCTGAGAACAGAATTTTTAAAAACTCACTAAAAGAGCCTGGAGTCATTCCCAGAAGCTCAATCCATGATAGTTTTATCCCTTCCACATGGGGTAGGTTTTTATTGCAGGAAACATTCTCATCACACACACATACACACACACACTTGGCAAGAGACAGAGAACTTAGGCCGACAGTTATGCCCACAGCATTCCCAGTGAGCATGCACTTTAGAATGAGTATGAGATGGAGAGTATAAATCTGCCGATTCTTTGAGTCAGTCACGTTTCCCACGTGCCTGCTCACCCTCCATGCTCAGGGTAATTCAAGAGTATCTTGGACTCTGCTTTGTCTTTAGAGTCTAATTTCACTTAAGATATTATAGAATCTTAAGATTTTTATAGTTAGAATTAAGAGGATGGGCGTTGGACTCAGAACTGAGTTTACTCATAGACAGGGTGACCTTGAAACATGGCTTACCCTCCATCACCTCCTAGCCGTTAATAATTACTGATCTGCAGGCACATTTAACAGAGTCAGGAGTCCACTGCTAAGTGAGCATCCCATGTCTTAGACTGGAGCAGTTGCTGATTCAGCCCAGTCCAAGAGGAATGAAGTAAAAAAGGGGACTCCAGGCAACAGTGGATTGATTTCCTTTTTTACAATTTTATATCTGCCTTGTTTAGTAAAGGATTTTTGTGGTATTCAGACACTTGTTTGGTAAAGATGTTTCTGACAAAAATTTCTTTCTTTCAAGCCAGTATTTGATGAAATGTAGGCATCGCCTATTGAATCAACTCAGTCTCCATCAAAATAAAAGCCCATGTTTGCCATAGAATCATAGTACCTAAGAACTGAGAAAGACCTAAGAGATCATCTAGTCATTTGGTTTCCGAAATTTGTGTTTAGCNCCGGCCACTCACAGCAGCCCAACTCCAGGTTGGTCTGTTGCTCAGCATCTTAGCTGTAAAGGGCAGCGTCACTGGCCCTCAAGTGGGATCTGAACATGCGGCTCTGCTGCTCAGAGCTCGCGCTCCCAAGCCAGCTCTTAACCAACGAGCCACTCAGCCAGCCCAAGCCACATTCTTCATGAAAAGTGTTTGCTAAAGAAAGTTATTTGTCTTTCCACTATGAAATTGGGTTCTTTGAGGCCACTAGGAGTCTAGATAAAATTGAAATTACTGTTTGAAAAGATTTTTTGTTTAAGTGGAGACTTTAGATGAGAATTACATGGAGGAAGTATTCTTTTATATTACTTTCAGGATAGGAGAAGGCAATATACTCATACAATGGACACCGTTATATAAATGGTAAAACATATGACCAAGATGAATTGATATCAAGCATTTAGTTCATCCAATTTCTAAATGTCCCTAAAGATTTTGTTATACAATTAAGACTCAAAGAAACTACATTAAAAATGCCAGTCGTCATATTCCACTGAGAAAAATTCCTTTTAGATGACAAAATACTACAATTAACCAACCAAATTCTGAAAGAAAGAAAAGAGCAAACTTTTTTTGGAAGTGTCCCCAAAAAGATGGAGGTTCAATGAAAGGACACTGAGACAGCTTGAGGGAGTTCCCAAAAGTCTAAGCCACAGCAATTCTAGCAATCAAATCAAATCAAGTAATGACAGCATTAGATTGTAGCCCATAGAATAAACTAAATCTCTATGAGTCCAAAACTGCTCTAAATAATTGAATAAAGAACTATATGGACTAGAAGGCCCAGCTGTTTGTTTTAGTGGCATTCCAATTAATAAATGTAGAAGGAATAAGGGAAATAGAAAATCACAATAGGCAAACAAAATAGTAATAATTATAGCAGGCAGGAACCATCAATGGCTGCTTAGATTAGTAGACAAAAGAGTGATGAGAAATGGGATATGTGAATGGTCTCAAATTATCTCCCCACAAGACATTTACTAATTACAAAGGAAAAACTGACTTTACAGTGGAGGAACCTGGCAGGCACCCCCTTTGCCAAACAATCCAGTTAAGCATTGCTAGTAATAAGACACATCAGCATCATGTACCTCCTGATATGATGTACTTAGAAGGGCACAATATCACCTTTGTGATATTCTTGCACAAAATGCACAGCCTCAACCTAATCATGATAAGACATTGTTGAACCAAAAATGAGAGGCATAGTACAGAAAACCTGACCAGTGCCCCTAAAAAGTTTGGAGGTCATGGGAGATAAAGAAATATGGGGGAACTGTCACAGACTGGAAGAGACTAAGGAAACATGATAACTACATGCAGTGTGGGATCCTGGATCAGAAAAAGGACATCAGCATTGTTCTGTACACCTGAAACAATAAAAAATTTAAAAAAAAAAAAGAGGACATCAGTAGGAAAACTGGTGAAGTTCAAATAAGGTCTCTTGATTGATTCATAGTATTGTATTGATGTTAACTTCCTGGTTTGGGTGATAGTACCAAAGCTATGTAAGATGTTAAGTTTAGGGCAAACTGCCGAAGGGTATATGGGGAGTCTCTGTCCTACTTTTGCAACTTTTCTGTTATTCTGAAATTATTTCATAATAAAGTGCTCCATCTTCTTTTTTCCAAAAAGAGCACACAAAGCAGAGAGTAATACAGTGCAAGTCCCTTAAGATGTTTTTTTTTTTTTAAGGCTGTTTTCTCACTTGTCATCAAGAATCATCCTTTAGATGATTGTCATCATTAAGTATCTGTTATTACTCCTCAAGAATAGACTGGCTGTGGGTGAGCAGATAGAAAAATGCTGAGCATAGATTCCCTGCTGGCAGTGCCTAGGCAGAGAGAACTGATAATGTAGTCATACTTCCTATATTAATAATAATTTTTAAAACTGCTAAAGCACTTGATATTACTACAAGTTGTAAAGCTGAATCAATCATGTGCCCCATGTCCACATTAATGTAAAACGGCCAGCTTTCTGTTACACACCATACGAGGATCTTAATGCAAGTATACACTGCACTGATACGCATTCTGATTTTATGTGGCATCATAAATACTTTGTGCTACAGAAGCTTGGTCTAGTTATTTTCCTCTGGGGAAATAACCAGTTGGGGTGAGGGGGTAGGGAGGTGGGAATAGTATCGTTTAATCCATCTTGCCATTCTGCAGTTATGTACCAGCTCCAGTTTCTTGCACATGTTTAAATGCTGCCCACTTACAGGCCCCCCAGAGTCCCTCCTTTCTCCTGATGTTTGCTCTCTCCGGGCAGCCCACTCTTTTCCATTCTTCTCAGAGACCTCTGTGCCACCATTTGAGCTTTCTTCTCTCAAAGTCTTCTCCCCTTTTCTCCACGAGGCCAACAAAGCTTTCCCGTCTTCCAGAACCCTGCTTAGGCCCGTCTGCCTCCATCAAGTGTGTAAACCACCACTGATTTAGTCATTGCAAATGTGCTGTATTTACTACCGAGCACTCTTAATACATGCACATGTGAATTATATATGTATTAATAGCTAGGTCTAATAGACCTGAGATCAAGTAAAATAATTTTAGCTGTATTAATTTGTACTTATGTTATCTTTATATTCAGCCCTAGTTTATAGTGTTACGTTTATAACACTCCTTTAGATTGTTATCTCTGAGGACAAGAACCAGATATTCTATCTCATTTGCATATGTTACAATGTGTGATTTGATGATACGTACTTAGGGAGCCACCATGAAAGACAAAAATAGCAAGTATTACATTCATTAATAAACTTCTACTTTCTTCATATTATTTGAGAGAATTTTTTAGTCATTTATATATATGTAAAATAATTTATGGTAATTTAAAGTGAAATATAAAGGGATATTTAAATATAATAATAAATATTGGAAATTTTGCCTCCCCAGAAGTGAGCTTATAGTCAACAATAATAAAACCTTTTTTTATTATTTTATTGGGGAACAGCCATGGTCATTGGTTACACATTGCTTTCATGCTACAATGGAATAGTTGTCTCTCTTAGGGAGGGCGCAGCTCACAGTGGCCCATGTGGGGATTGAACCGGCAACCTTAGTATTATCAGCACCATGTGCTAACCAACTGAGCTAACTGGTCATCCCCAATAAAACTTTTTAATTTTTTAAAAAAAATTAGTTTAGAGACCTTAAAAGAAGTTTAAGAACAATTTTAGAAAATTTTAAAAGGCCTAATCTTACGTTGTAATTTAACCTAGAATTGCACTTTATTAAATTATTTTTAAAGTAAAATATGTTGTCACTATTTTGTTCCCTTCTAAATACAAATAATCCTAGTAGGACAACCCTTCCATTCTACCAACATTTTTTGAGAGGCTAATAATGTCTTAGCCCCTATACTGAGTGCTGGGTTTGCAAAAGTAAAACACCTGATTTTGAGTCACTCTTACTCTAGATGAATTAGGAAGTAGAATTTTGGAAAGAGAAAAGAGATAATGCAGAAAGCAGAGTAGTGGTGGAGTTTGGTTAACCTCAAGAGATAAAGGGCAAGGATGTAGAGAAATTGGAACCCTTGTGCACTGTTGGTAGGATTGTAAGGTGGTGCAGCCACTATAAAAAACAGTATAGTGACTCCTCAAAAAATTAAAAATAGAATTACTATATGATCCAGCAATTCCTCTTCTGGGTATATATCCAAAAGAATTGAAAGCGGGATCTCAAAGAGATATTTGTATACCCAATTTCATAGCGTTATTCGCAATAGCCAAGAGGTGGAAACAACTCAAGCGCCCATTAACAGTTGAATGGATAAACAAAATGTGGTATCTATTATGAACCTTAAGATATTATGCTAAGTGAAGTAAGCCTGTCTCAAGAAGACAAATACTGCATGATTCTACTTATATGAGGAATCTATAGTAGTCATAGAAAGTAGAATGGTGGTTGCTAGGGTTAGGTGGGAGAGGAAAATGGGGTGTTGTTTAATGGTTACAGAGTTTCAGTTTTGTAAGATAAAAAAGTACTGGAAGGGGGCCGGCTGAGTGGCTCAGTAGGTTAAGAGCTCACTCAAGAGTGTGAGCTCTGAGCAACAGCAGTTTGATTCCCGGCCCAAGCTGAGCTGCCGCTGAGCTGCCAACAGGTGGCAGGATGGCTCAGCTGAAAAAATAAATAAATAAAAAGAAATTAAAAAAAAAATTCACTGCAACTTCCCTAGAGAATAAAAATCAACCCAATATCCAAAACAGAAAGTCTTAGGAGAGTGACTATAAGCATGTGTGGCATTTTCAGTACCTACCCCCTCAATCCTCTTACATTTTGATTTACAGGCAAAAAAGCATTCTGTCTGCTTATATTTGTTTAGATAATCTCTCTGTGTCTCACACTCCTCGTTTCTAAGCAAGTTAATAGTTGCCGGATATTATATAATCCAAAAAATGAATTCTAATTATATAAGCAAATTTTTATATTCTTAGCAAGTTTTTACAGAATTGCCTTTTTGATTTTAGTACTTTTCCCACATATCTTATGTGCAGTGTGAACATTTTTCTTCTGCTTGAATTAGAGTGTTCTGAGTTTATATACCTGGTGAATTTAGCAAATTCACCAGGACAAGCCTGAATCAATGCACAGAAATCCATCTTTAGTTTTGGAAAATCAGTTTGGAATGCATACCTTATTGATAGCAGGGGAGATGACATTCGTGTCTTACGAAATGAAGGCAGTCAGTCGTATTTTATTGACACTGTCATTGCTATTGTGCCTGACAGAACTAAGGCCACATTTTAGCCTTGCATCTGAGAGTGACACTGCAGACCAAGAAGACTTGGAGGCAGAAGATGACCATGAGGAACAGCCTCCCAATCAAAATGTCCGAAGACCTCAGGTCATCATCGAAGATACTGTGGCTACCTCAGGGGTGAGCACGCTCAGTTCAACGGTGTCCCACGATTCGCAGGGTGCTAACCGATCATTGCATGTACAGCTCGGGAGATTGAAAATAGAAACCAACAAGTAAGTTGTATTCTGACGTGGGAGGGTTTCTTTTTCCTGACGTTTCCTATAAGTGCATGTGTTTTGGGTCTCCTTTAAAAAGTTTGGTCCACAGAAAATACAAAATGTGGCTCCTTTAACCCATTCATGTCAACTTGCTTTAAAGCCTTCAGAAAACAGAGATATAGCTCCATCTCTTTAGTCAAATACATTTTCTGCTTCTACCAGTTCAAGCCTTCAACACCTTGGCCTTGACCACTGCTTTATCTCCAAGTGCTCCGAGATTTTCAGAGAACTTTGTAACCTCATAACTGTCATGGGGACAGAATCTGAGCAGCATGTACCGTCCGACAGATAGCTGAAAGGCAGGCAGAAAGCCCGTGTTCTTGAAAACCTGTTGTTTGGAATATCAGGTTTTTCCAGGAGAGGAAGATCTCAGTTCTTGAGGAGATAAAACTAATAGTGGTGCTACAGCTTTGCATTTTTAGAACCTTGAAAGAATGATCAGTTGGCCACATTTATGATTCTATTTTATTTCTAATAGGCTGTGTCATATCTGGGTTTAATTTTGTTTGAGAATTTGGTAACATAGAATCTACATGATTGGGTTATTAAGTACACAGTAAATATTTCCTGTGCTTCACAGATGTTGGCTCAGTTCAAGGTCTGTGTCTTGATGATTTATAGCTTCCTGTGCTGGCTACAGTTGACATGTGGGCAACTGACTTTATGACTGCGTTTATAGTGAAAACTTTTTTTTTTAGTATACCAATAAAAGTTGTTCAAATATTTAGAAACCTTAATTGAAAATACTAATTGTTCACCAGGGAGATAAAACGTTTATTTCCACTCTTACGTTTAGGTTTTTAAGGTTACGCCTGAATACCAAGATCAGTATGAGTGGTACAAAGCTTGTCCTGTATTTAGAAACATGAATTTTGGTTGCATGATTAAGTAAATCCATACATATATGCTATGATTTACACGCAGAAATCCTTCTGAATAATGGGAAAGTGGCTTTCTGACTTCCATATCCCATCCTTGTTCTCTGAAACCCAGCTCTTTACTTGTCATTTCTACCACTTAGTGGAAAAGAATTTGAGTCTTTTCTCCTTTGAGACGTCCATCTAAATCATGGTGTCCCTCATTTCTTCCTCTTCTCAAGTAATAGTCCAATTATGATACTCCATCCATGACAGTAGGTGTTCCCTTTAGCCACTTCTCTTTGGTAGACTCTCTCTCACCCGGTCCTGAAGGGAACTGTTTTTTATACCCCTCTTTGATCTTTAGAGGAGGCAAGTTCATTCATTCCTGTTTTGATCCAGCCACCCCACCCCTTTCTACCCATGGCTTCCAGTAAGAATTATACAGAGAGTAAAGATTATTTACCAACGAACTGGTGTATTTGCTTCTCGGGCTGTAAAACCTTCTGTCTACATATCCTGGCTTATGTCAATAAACCTGTCTCCTAAATGTAGCCTTTTCCTTCTCTCCTTAGCCCATTTGAGTTGCCCTGTCTCACCACCTAGTCCTTAATGTCTGTCCATCATGCTTAGGCCACCTGCAGTCCCCAAGGGCTGCTTTTGGTGAGCCACTTTCTTCAAGTCTTCACATCTGACATCTGAGGGTATCAGCTAGTTGAAGGCCTGCTTCCCACATCTGCCCATCTCACTGGAAAAGACTAGGAGTTGCCACATTTCTTTATTACATTAGTACATAGTTGCATTTTCACAAAAGCCCACACATTTGTGCTTGTTCTCTACATATTTACACTTAAATCTGTGACATCTACAGCAATATCAGCCTCATTTTTCTTTTTCTAGGAATACCTCCCACAGCTTCTCCATCACCCCCAGAAAATGAGACAAGACACAATTTTCAGCTCACACATGATTTAAAGAAAGGGCAGCTGCTTTAGTACAAGCACTAAGCGGTGGAACTAAGGGACTAGTCATGGCTATAGTGGTTCTTATAATTTTCAGTTGAATATGACTTGATTATAGAAGTACATGTATTGCAAGATAAACTTACAGGAATTGTTAGTGTGTTTTTAGGAATGGGTGTAGCCCTCGTGTTAGAAATCTTAGGCTTACATTTAGAATAATTACCAAGGAAGGTAAGTCAGATTTTTCCAGCACTTGATTATTAGATCATCAATAATATTAAATGGAAAAAGTAACAAAATAGCCTTAGAGGGTATATTTTACTTATATTTAAGTATATGCTTACGTAAAATGTTCTGAAAGTAATTCACTTCACACAGGGAGTTTGGATAATAATGTGGAACAAGGATGCAGAGTTAAAAAATCTAACTCACAAGGAACTGAATGGTTATCTAATTTTCCTATCTTACAATTCTGAAATTACCCATCCCCACCCATCTGTGTTAAAAAATTGACCTCAGGGCAGATCCTTGCCAAAATTTTCTGGAACAGAGAGGCAGGCAGTTGCGTTGGTTTTGAAGGCCTTCCCTACTAACTGAAGACAAAGTAAAAATAAAACCGATGGACTGGATATGTCCTTAAAATAAATAATTTTGAGAGATAGATTTGGGACAAATGAGATGGTCTGTCAGTACGTTGCTTTCAATGTTAAATTCTGACTTTTAAAGATAAAAAGGAAATAATGTAGTTTAGGTAAACATAAGTTCTAGAAAATTTCACTGCAGTCTTCGAGAAAACGAGAATTTGCCATCACTACTCCATTCATGTAAATTTACAAGGAAGACAAAAATACGATATACCAGACCAAAAAATGGGCCACTTAAAAATAATTCATACTGAGCTTGCTATCCATTTCTTTGAATATCATTCCTTTTGCAACAGATAAAAGCTTCCCTTGGTCCTCCGCTTCCCTCCTGCTTTCAGTTCCTACTGCTTAATCCACCTACCTGTGCACTGCTTGCTCCCATTGGTCTGGAAACAACCTGTGTTCCTCAAACCACGCTCTCTGGCTACCTCTCAGAGTGTTTTCCATTTGTCCCACCTCTGCCACCTACTCTCCAATGATCCCGTCTCTCACCTGAGGGCCTCACCTCTGTCTTGCAGGAAAGGGGTGGAACCTGGACATCGGGGAAGGAACCCCTGCTGAGCCCTGGGAGGGCTCTTTCCCGGGGCCTCCAGCAGCAGCAGGGAACAAAACAGCCCTTATCAAAGGCTAGGCACTTTAGCCATACTGTCTAACTTAATGCTCACAGTAATTCTTTCAGGAAATTTCCTTTTCCCTTTTACAAATAAGAAAACTGATGCTCAGAGACATTAATTTATCCAAGTTAACACAGGAAACACGTGGCTGATACAGGAGACATACCCAGGGCTGTCTTTGAGTTGTGCCTGTGCTGCCTTAAGAACATGTCAACTGATATAGAAACAAACTTTTGGAATGGAATCTGGTCACGAGTTCAGTCTGTCCATACTCAGAAACTGAAACAAATACAGTTTGCAAAGAGCTGTAGGGAATACAACAATTTATCTTGATTATCTTAGGAGTAATTAGGTATCTTAAATTACAATTCTGAATCCAAGTTAGTCAAAGATAGTTTCCTAAAAAAAATCAGAGCACCTATCTTCATAACTTGGAATATTTTTTTCAAAGGACAGTTTAAGAAATGAGGAGTAGTTACCAGTTGGCTCTCAGATGCATAGTGAAACTTTCATGACTAAAAACGATGGGATAAATGCTATCTTAGTTTCTCCTTGTTTCTTTGGAGAATGCATCCGATGCCAGCTAGGAAGTGAATGTACCAGGAACACATGTGTTTTTCACTGTAATAAATTTTTTTATTTAAATATTCAGCATATGTTTGATCACACCTTGTACTGTGGGCAACCTCACCTATCATTACTTCTCAAATTTTCATAGTTTAAAAAAAGTGACTACCTTTTTGTTTATTACCCATATTGACCAACTTTTTTTTTTTTTAGGAGTCATACATGTAATACACACACACACACACACACACACACACACACACATCCATTTGTGGTCATAAAAAGAAGCAACAGAACAGAATCTCTGAAGATTTTGGCAGACAGCAGTTGGGGATGGGGATTTTGAATTCTTGTCTGAAAGCACACTGTCTTCTACAGCTTTACTACTCAACATAGGATCTGTGGATCAGCCACAGCAGTGGCACTTAGGAGCTTAGAAATGCAGAATCTCAGACCTCCCCACAGAGCTGCTGGCTCAGAACCTGCATTTCAGTGAAATCCCACAGGTATAGGTGCTCATAGTAGCACGAGAAGCCCAAGTATAGAAGGTCACTCTGTTAGCTGCTCCAGCTTTATTGTCCAGTCAACTGATATCGTTTTCTTCTCCAGATTACTGGAAGAATTGGTTCAGAAAGAGAAAGAATTACAAGCACTCCTTCATCAAGCTATTGAAGAAAAAGACCACGAAATTAAACATCTGAAGCTTAAGTCCCAATCAATAGGTGAGTAAGCAGAAAATCTTAAAGTAAATGGCAACCAGGCTCCCACAAAAAGCTGAGAAAGCCCACTGGAGTTTTATAGTATGGTTTAATCACTTGTATCACAACTATAAGCAGAAATTGCTTTAAAAAAATACCCAAATCTTAATTGTAGAAAAATATCATTTTTTATAAGGGCAGTAAAAATAAGATGATTCGGTTATCTTTTCCTGAGATTATATATTAAGTAAATAAGGCTCTCCACTTATTTGTCTTTCTTTTTAAAGATTTCACAATGAAAGTACCAGAATAAGATAATACTATTTTTGTCATTTTTGCATTTGTATTCTGTGTGTGCTAGTTTTTTTCATATTATTGCAAGTAGTGGACAAAGCTAATTATCTGGTTGGTTCTCTGCCTATTATGCTCATCTTTGTTGCATGAGAAATACACAGTACAGTTTTGATACACCAAGTTTATTCTAAGAAACTATGAAATTGATATTACACTATTGCTTCTGACTCTCCATTTACTAGTAATTAAGTGGTCTTTAAGCATTTTATTTATAATTCATACTGCCAATCTCAATTATCTCTTGATTATTCTCTGATAGAGCAAAATCTTTTAAAATATTAATAAATGTCTGTTGACTGGGAGGTCTCAGATGACCTCTGTTAGGTGAAGCTAAGAATGTACACCCTCCTACTCCAAATGCTCTTCTAGATATTCCTGGATTGCCTGTGTATCACTTAACTTCTCCTGGCACAAATATTGAAGATCCTGAACTTATTGACTGGCTGAGAGAAAATGGAGCTGATGAAGACACTATAAGTCGGGTAAAGATGACATCTGTGCGACAAGCATTCTTTCACTTCATCTCATAGTAGCTGAGTGCTGAGGTGCTAGGTATAGGGGATGCACAAGTGAGCAGTGCAGACACAGCCCTGCCCTCCTGAGGCTTATAGACTAGGCCAGGCAGATGATAATCAGATGAGTCCACAGATGAAAGTGTACTTATGTCTTGATAAATTCTATGAAGGAAAAAGGTTGTCAGGTGAGACAGAGGGAGGGAACAGTTCTTAGAGAAGATGATGAATGAGCTGAAGATTAAGGAACATGTAGGAATAAACTAGGCTACCTATATGTGAGTTTGGGGTGGGGGCAGACCGGAAGGGGAAATCATTCAAGGGGAGGGGTGCAGAATGAACAAACACAGTGAGCTTTGTGGTCCAGGCCCCCTAAGGACTTCCATGATTCTGAATAGGAAATAACAAAGAATGGAAAAATCAAGACAGAACTAGAAATCGGGTTTTTCTGTTTTCAATTCTCTCTTTTGTTAGTTAACTTTTTAATTCTCTAATGACATTATACTCCACTGGGCAGTGGCTATTTATTGATACTTAATGAAATCCATCTAGCTAGCAAATTTATGTTAGGAACAAACACTTTATAAACCATATTGTATCTATAATAACCTAATTATTTTCTACTCCTTATAGACTTGTAATCAGCATGAATAGCATTTGTTTGTTTTAAGATTACATATATGTATACACATATACACACAATAAGAGGTTATATTTTTATTTTATAGAAATACAGTATTATATTGATTTCAGTTTTATACTTAAATTTTAAAAATAAGAATAAAGATATCTTTTCTCTTGAACTGATAATTTATTGGATCACTAAATAAAATGTAGAGTCTGCTTAGAAATTTGCATTTAACAAGTTACTGCTACATACATTTAAACAACTCTCTTGCCTATGGAAAATAAGACATCCAATCAAACTCTCCAAAATATTTCTCAAGCTGAGACTCAAAATCACAATTAAAGGACAGTAACTGACGATCCACTAAATCACTGACCTTTTATTAAGAGTTAACATTAAAAGCTTAAGTTTAAATCAGGACTCTGATTTTTCTAATAATTATTAGAAAAGTAAGTTCAGAAATTAAGTATAAATAATACCTTTCCAGGAACACTTTTTACCTACTTGAGAAAAATAAAGCTATACAGTAGCAAACCTCTTAAAGGCAAACATTGTCTTATGAGCAGCAGATGTAGTTACAAGTGAGTCCTTTGTATTCGTTAGACCATTCAGAAATTCTATGTTGCTTGTAATCTTATGCATTTGGAAGTCATATGGATGCATCTCTTTGTAATTATTTTGTAATGGGGGAACTTTCCCCTAATAATACCAGAAGATTATTTCTAGTGGCTTGCCTTTTATATTAATTTTTCACTATTGCTAATGTTTATATTTTGGATAGAGTTTGCTGTTTATTAAAGATGTATAAAACTTCTAACTGTTGTGCATATTTTACTTTCTCCACAGTTTTTGGCTGAGGATTATTCACTAGAGGATATTCTCTACTTTGTTACACGTGACGACTTAAAATGCCTGAGACTAAGGTAACACTTTTCTTTCCATTCAGTTGTCATGATGGCAAGAGCACAGGGCTGAGATTAAGAAGTCTGGGTTCCTGCCCTGGCTGAGTCCCTAACTAGCTCTAACCAGCTCGCCAATCCTGGGCTCACCTCTCTGGTTCTCAGTTGTTGCAAGTAAACTGGGTTAGTTGGACCAGACTCTTATTGAGGACTCTGATAACCAATATTTCTGTATAAGTAAATGCAAATCAACTGAAAGAATATTTTGGATAATAGATCAGACTAAGACCATGCAGTCATTCTAAAGCTGCCTTAAACAGATGTCTAATGTAGTTCATGATTGTATCATATTTAGAAATATTACGATGAGGTGCTGATTTGCCATCCAAATGCCTGATACAATCTGATACAGTTTCTTATAATAATTATTTTTTTCTATCAGGCCACCCATATGCATAACTTACACGGACCTCTACAAAGACACATTTCAAAAAGTGCTGAAAATCTAAAATGATGATTTGGGACTTGATAGTTTGTGGGGGTGGAAAGGAAAGGCATTGGAGGGATGATGAGAAAATATATACAAAAAGAATACACGATGACTGATAAGACATTGGGGTCTTCACGTTCTGATCAGAGCAGCTGAAAGCTAAGCAGTTGCTTTTCTAGTTCAAGGGCAGTGTTTCAAATGAAGTGTTCTCTTCACCATATTCTTATGTCTTTAAACAGGGGAGGGATGCTCTGCACACTGTGGAAGGCCATCACTGACTTTCGGGACAAACGGACTTGACTGTCGCTCAATTTGTTTCCAGCCTTCCATGGAGATTCTAAAAAATTAACACAGAACTGATCTTTCTTAAGGGAGGGAGAATCAAAGGGAGAGGAGAAAGAAGCTGCACTTTAAATCCAGTATTTGTTTACTTGTGTTAAAAAAACAAAACAAAACAAAAAAACACACAAAATACACTGAAATTTCCTAACTGCTTCTATTTCTATAATTCGTAAGGACTCTTCATATGGACTCTCAAAATAATCCTAAACATTAGGACATTAGGATGTTTAGGATTATTTTAGTCTAAACATTTTTATGGAAATATTTTGAACTCAGCAGCTATTGTACTTCAGCCAAATGTTTATTTCACACGAAACGGATATAACATTTCATGTGATTGTGCATCACTGGAACAAACTAAAATGTGACCATAACTTTTTAGGCTTATGTGTATTTGTAATATGCTCTAATAATCTGAGTAGAAATGCATAATTTCAATTATTGTATAAAGTTTATGTTTTTTTTAAGTATGCAGAATCTGAGAGCAATGGTTTTTACTTACTTATCTGTATTGTTATATTGACTATATTTTGTAACTTAAGTTTCTGGCCTATAGTACATTTGTTTGAGTTATGTTTGTACTACTGAACTGTACCAGTTGCACATGCCCGAATCATAGTAATGTTAGCTTGTTCTAAAGCTATCCATTGTGTCATACTTACTCTAAAAAGTAAAAAGACTGTCAGCATTACTGTTTTGATAAATTCTAAAGTATTCTTATTTTGTTTTGCTTAACTAGATAAACTACTGTGTCAAATTTCTAATTGTTTCTTCAGCTATAACATTAAAAATACAATCTGTCTTCTATTCAAGTAACTAAGACCAACTGACATCCAAGTTGTTCCTCAGGTAACAGAGTGGCAAGAAAGAGAGCAAAGAAAAAAGGAAGTAAGAGGAACTCAGTCTATTTTTCTCAAGGCCCTAAGTTATCATGAATGACTACTGTGTATCTCACAGGGTCTGCAAATAGTATCCTAGTGGAGACCACTGCATTTTCTATCTCCTTGATTTTAATTTTCATATTGAGGGAAATATTTTTATTTTAAGCTGTATATTTTATAAGTCCGCTCATATTCATAGAACGAAGTCTACAGTTCCTAGATGGGTGATCAGTGAGATAAACAAATTTCTTAAATACAGAGGAAACCGTTTATTTTGCAAGATAAAAATAACATAGAGATGTTCATGTATCATAATTTCACCCATATACAACAATCTTCAGTAAAACAGCAGCCATCTTTATTGCTACGTGAAAGCTAAAGTACAGTATATTTTATATTGCATTAGATTATATAGAAAGTTCTCACCAGTATCTTTTCATTTGATATTTGTAACAACATAACTGCATCTTGTTTTTACTTCCCAATCCTGAGGATAGATAGTTGCCTCTTGCATCCTGTAGGGAACTTTCAAAGGAGGTGAGGTATAAATTAAATGATATGTCATTTCACTCGTATTTAAACACAGGGTAACTCCTTTATTAAGCCACAGTTCATCTCTCTAGTTGTAATGGCTCAGTGTCTCTTTTAGACGGTATATAGGATCAAGCTACCTATGTTCAACCATCTCTTTTCAGTCTTTTCTTGGGATCTTCCTCCTGCCCTGTCTTTGTGGGCAAATTTTCCTCCTACCCTACATGGTTCATCACACAGTTCCAGACCAGCATCATTAGGTTTTTGACAGTATTTTGGGTCTTAGACACAAAAGAGGGGAATTCAATTATGGCCCAAATTTCATGAAAGGTTTCACTTAAAGGCCTTTGGTATCAATCTAGGCCAGTGATTCTATACCCAGCTTTACATTAAAATGACCTGGATGCTTTTTAAAATATTGGTGCCACCACCATAGAGAAACTGTTTTTATAGGTCTGGGGTAGGGCTGAGATCCTTTAAAAAAATCTCTACAGATGATTTAACACTATCAAGTCCTACCTCTTTATTGCAAGTGACACCCAGAGAGAGAAATGGAGAGCCTCCTTCCATAGAGGCGGTAGCAAGATGGTTACCATTCATTGTTCATTTCGTGTAGCAAGAATCTAAACACAAGGCCTGAAGCAAAACTGTCACCTACCTTTAGACTTTGGGCAGATTAATTAAACTCTCCAAGTCTCAGTTTTCTATCTGAAATGGGAACAGGGTACCTTCGTCACAGGGTTGTTGCAAGATTTAAATAAAATAATGCAGGGGAGGTGCTTACCGCAATACTTAGCAGATAGTAAGCACTTAAAGGCTGCCTGCTATTGTTACCTCTTATAATTCATTTAAAAGTATTTATTAACTACATACCGGGTGCTATATATTATGGTGCATGAGCAAGACAGAGTTCTTGGCCCTGAAGTTCACTGTCAGAGGTGGAATCAAGACAAAGTACAAACAACAGTACACATAATTGTTACAGCTACATCTGACTGCCAGAAGGGATCAAGAAAAGCTTCCCAGAGAAGCGAAGGTCCGGAGCTGAACCTGGAAAGATGGTTGCTAACAGAACAGTTTTGCATGGGTGGTGGCGGCAGTCTTATAAGAGAAACAAAACCGGAATTTGCCTGGAAAAGTAGATCCAATGTTTCTTTTTTACTACATTTTGATCTCTTTCTCCAAATTCTTCCATTGCATATTTTATTTCAATTATTCCTAAACCATCACATAAAATGGTTTGGCAATGAGCAATTGTTGTTAACCCACTGGCATGCCTACTATGTGTGAGGCACTGTAGCAGCAGGAGAGATACACATGACATCCATTAAGTTCAGACTACAGGCCATGCACATGATGTCATCAAGGACATTTGCAATTTGTAAACAAAATAATTGAGGCTCTAGACTTCCTAGATACCCTATAGACAAGTCCCTGCCACCAGTAATTCATGTCAGATTGAATTACAGTAAAGCCATTTACAGTAAAATTACAGAGAGCCATTTACAGTAACAAATCACACCTAGTCTATGTTAAAAGCTGGATGAGGGGCAAGCACAGAAGCCCCTGCAGAGGTTCAGAGGACAAGCTCACCTAGAGCCAGGGCAGGTGGAACACGAGGTAGACCTCAACCTGGGCCTTAGAGACAATTGTTAAATAAGCAGGACCAGGGAAGTCAATCAGTGCACCGAACTCCAAGAATGAAGGCAGAAAGCAGGGATTTGCAAAGCTTTGGAGAAAGGGAACAAGTTTTATATTGCATTAGAGCATACAGAAATTTTAACTCATATTTGACTGCAAATATGAATCAGAGATGAAAAGTGGAAAATGGGATAGTTGAGAGCTCAAGGTGTGATTGGGGATGGTCAGGGAAGTGGAGTTCAGTATTTAATTGTGTAGAAATGAATCTATTAAGGATTTTGAGCAAGGGAGGTGTGTGTATAGTAGTGTATGAAAAGATTGGGCAAAATGGTTTTGGGTAAATTGGAACAAATTGGACAGCAGTTCAGAGAGTGTTTCAGATGTGAAAGGGTCTAGTAGGAGTGAGAGCAGTAGGAATTGAAAGGGTGGAATTAATTGACAAAATTTGGGAAGTACAATTTGGGCAGTGATGATGGGAGGAAAGAGATGTTGAGCCTATGTGAGTAAGAGAAGAATTCAAAAATAGGCAAGTTTGGAGGGGGAATTGGATTGGGACATGACGAATTAATGGAAGGATGAATCAATGTTAGAAATGTGCAGAGACAGTTGAGAATGTATTGGTGGATGTCAGAATTGAGGTCAAGTATATATTCTGGATCTAGGAGTCACCTGGATGGAGATAATAGTAAATAAAAGTGGTGAAAGAAAGGTTGTGGCCTAATATTTTGGGAGGAGGAAGGTTTCAGAATGGTTAAAGGAGGAGGAGGAATTTAAGTCAGCAAAGGAGACAAAAGGACTGGCCATAGGGAAATAAAAACCAGGCCAGTGGTGTAAACAAGAGGAAGATAATCAGAGGATGGAGTGCTGCAGAAAGTCTCAGGGAATGACATTAAAAAATAATAGGTAATGTGTGCCTTGGGAAGTTTTTATAGACAAGAAGACTACAGCTGGTTAAACTAAGATAATGATGGCAACACACATTTATTACCTTTGGTGAATAAAATGTATGATGATAGATTTGGGAGGGTGGGAAGTCAAAGGAAGAAATTTTCAGAATCAAAGAGTCCTGAATGCGTTTGTTGGGGTAGAGCCCCTGAATGAAGAGGCATTTGGAGAATAGGGAGAAGAGGAGGAGGTTTCAGATGAGGCAGGAGGGGAGCTGATGGCATCAGGAGGTTCAGCTCCTCCCCCTGGAAATCAACTATGACGACTGAGAAATCTTGAGATGAATGTGGGAGCTCAAGATGGCTTCTGTGTTCTAAGTAAAGCATAACACAAAGTACGATGTGATGGCGCATGACATTTCACAGATATCGCCCATTCCTGTATGTTTATGCAACAGCCCACCATTTACAGACACAGCATTAAGTTTGTACAGGGCCCAAGAAAATGCAGGATTTGGGTGTGTTTCTTATTGCACTTATTTTTGTGTCACTTGTGAGACTAAAACTTAAGTTAGCAAAAGAATGGGAGACAGGATAAGCACACCAAACACACACCCACACACAAACACAAATAAACCAGTATCTTAATTTTGGGGAAGTGTGTGTGTGTGTGTGTGGGGGGGTCCAAGACAGTACTCCTTGGTTTACTTGAGGTAGTAAATCAGAAGGTTGAAAACAAATCTCCCCTTTCCAAGTTTCTTCCAGAGTTCAGCTCTAAATTCAGCTAAGAGAGTCTGATGTTCACAGTAAAGTGTCTTAAACTCTGATGACTTGATGCAGTAAAAAATATCTTTGCTGGGGCCCAAGCTAAGGTTTTTTTATTTTTATTGATTAAAATAAATCAGTTATGCTTTATTCTATTGACTGGAAGTCTAATAAGTGATTTGAATGTGATTTAGGAAATTCACATTGCCAAATGCTCAGTTCGCCTAATCTGTAGAAATAGCATTAAGGAAAAATCCGTAACTACAAACCAAAGTGTCCTTTAGTCAAAACCTCTACCTAGGCAGCCAGTGAACCAGTAAACCAAATAAAAACAGTCCTTTCCTGGGCTCAGAGGGGACTGTCACTCTCGCAATAAATCCAGCACTCTTGTCAGACACTCTGGGGCATCCAATTCTGCTGAAGTCCTTGAGAGAGTTTTAAACTGTTGGAAGCTTGCTGGTTGTTCAGACAACCGAGGCTGTGGGAGTGCATTGCTGTGTAACCAGACAGAACTGGTGGCTGCTAGATTTTGTTCCTTATGTTTCTATTTATGCAGGCTATATTTGTTTCCCTCAGCATCTTGTTATCATTTACTTGCCTGTTAGAGCAGAAATTGGTTTCTCCTCAACAAATAGTCTGTTTCTTTAAAAAAAAAATTGGTGTCTATTGCTCTTCCTGATCTTCCTGAGCAAACCAGAAGTCACAAGGTAGTTACTAATCGGAAACCAAGAATAAGAAAAGCGACTTTCACTAACTTGTGTTCCCTGGGGCTCATCAGATACAAAGGCCCGGTGGAAAGGTTGGCCACCAGCAATGGCGTCCTAAAAACCAGGTCGAGACTGGATCCTAGTGCGGAATCCAGCCCACCGATGCAACTGTGGAATCCAGCCCACGTACTTCGGCTTTTCACGTGGCATCATACTCTTGCACTGTCACCATGAACTTCAAAACTGGCACGGCTGCTTCAGGGTTCAGCCTGCAATCAGGCGTCCCTATGTCCTCATCTCACCTGGGCTGATCGTCGGACCGTTCCAGTTCCAGGCGCTAGAGCCACCAGGCGTCGCCGACCCTGCTTCAGACTTCCAGGAGCCGGCAGCGGTCTAGG